CCATAGTGAATTTGAATTTAAATTTTTTCTTTCTGAGGTATTCTTAAAAACGAGTAATAAACAAAATGTAGTTACCTGACTTGGAGAGTGCGAGGCGATCGACCCATTTTGGGGCGTAGTCCCGCAATAGTGGATATTAAAAGGGGGTCGCCTCCCGCTTCGAAACAGGTCCGCAACTCCATTTTGGAAGGATTCTTTTCTCATGTGCCTTCCGTCCGTGGGAAAATTTAACTTGCCAAAATCGATCTTGACCTACAAGATCGTTATTTTAGATTTTATTTTATTCATTCGATTACTAGCAGGAAACCAAGCGCCTAGCTCGAAAAAACTTCGGGCGGGAGGCTTGATTTCTAAGCTTGGGATTTTTATCGTCTTGGGAGACGATATTCTTACAAGTACCGTATATAATATAGTAAAAGGGGGTAGGAATAGGACTTAAATAGGAACATAACTAGCGATAATCTGTTTTTTTTTGTATTTCGGGAATACTTTTGTTGGGTTAGTAATAAGAAGGGATTTTAGTAGGGAATAACGCAAATGTTTTAGACGACGAGAAATAAGGACGACTTACCTTCCCGTGAAATGTTGATGAGGGCTAATCCACCAATGCTGGCCCTTCACAACCGGCACAAGAGGACACCAACAAGCACACCACAAAGGGCACACCAGGTCCCGTCCGATTATTCCTATCGAACAACACTGGACAGAGGACACAGCGGACCGCACCCACAAAACCACTGAGTCAGGCAAACCGAGGGTCCACGGATGGAACATAACCACTTCCACCACCAACACAGGGGACCCGAGGCCACGACGGAAGTAGATAGCACCGATAAACCGAATACCGCCACGTCAACCCACCCTTAGGGTTGATAGTACCACTCGTTTGGTACCGGCTGTAGCAACAACAGCCAACGCCAACCGGGCCGCTGGGAGGATGCCAGATACGAGTTGTCGCCAGGGAACCCGAGGCCGTTTCGCACCCACGTAGGGCAGACGACCAATCAGAGCAACGAGGTGGTCGTTACAAAAATCTAAGCCGAAGCTCAAGGCCCCAAAGATAATCCCGTCACCTTCGAGAATGGCATCCCGCAGAATCAGCAGCCTGGCGATAGAGAAAATCGCTATCTACTCCCAGGGAACAACAAGGTGGTTACAAACTGCAAGTGTTCGTGGCGCGTAGGTGTAAAGAATCCGAAACGATAAAGTGTGCCGCGGAGTGTCGTCTTGCGGGAAGATAAGACTGGAGAAACGCGATACGAACGCATGTACCCGTTTCAAATCTCGTCGAAGCATTTAATTGTCGGGTAATTATTGTAATGTTTTGTAGCTTTAGGCATTTTTTTTTTCTTTTGTATTTGTTGATTGATTTTTTTTTCTCTTTTGTCAATTTTTTCTTTATTTCGCATGTTTTTTTGTAATTTTTGTAATTTTTTTAATTTTTCTTTGTGAACTTAGTTAGGTAGTAGGGAAAAAGCCAGGGGCTGGCTTTAGCGGACGGGGGGCATGTCACGAACGCCAATGGGTCGTGAGACGGTTAGGACACTCGAGTATTGAACCTGTGAGAATCGTTGCAAATAGTGCAACGATAGGTGAAATATTTCGAGGAATCATGTAAAACAGGATGCAACCAAACTCCACCGTCGATCGGACCACCGTGAGAACGGTGGACAAATGGGGGAGATTGGTTGGCATAAAAAGCCTAACCGCCTCGCGCCCGGGGAGATTCCTTATCCCGTACGATAAGGGACAGTACGCGTGATCTCTTGCGGGCTAAATCGAATTGTATAAGTAGTTCCGAGCGTGTGTTATAGTTCCACCGAGTTCAAGTGTAACGGTGTTGTAAGTGCTCGAAAGAGTAAAGAGATCTCGCCGGCCCTCGTGACGTGCCCCGAAGTCTGCTAGACCTTCTAGATGAGGTAGGGTAGTTTGTAGGGCTATTTGTTGTTGCTTGGTGAGGTACAAGTACCTCACCCTTGTGTACTTAGTTTTAAGCAATATACCTGTTTATTATTATCTCTCTGAGTATCATTCTCTGGGCCCCTAGTAGAACCCCATTTTCAGAGTAGAAAGAAAGCCAAGGCTTTACCGCTACGCCCCGTAGCAAAGAGGTTCCGCCGACAAAGGAATCGGCGAAGCACGAGTTGAACAACACGATAAGAGGGCAAGTAGCACCCAAACATAGCAACTCGTGACAATACGTAGCACGCAAACCGAATTTTGTAATAACCATTTTCGAATTTTGCCATTTTAATTAGGCTTCCTGGTAAACAAATCGCATTTTGGAATCATGAAAAGAGTGATTAATTAGTGAAATTACACTGCTACATCTATACAGCTGGACTTGTGAATATTAAATCGTTATTAGGAATAAATTTCAATCAATTTTGGGGACTAATTTTTATCGTGTTTGTACACAACGTCCGAAAGTAATTCAGATCGATTAATAATTCCGGTATAAAGCGAGCCAAATGTTATTTTTAGAAGGATTAATTTTACATTTTGGTAAAGGCCTTAGGTATCTACAATGAATGTTTGTTCCTACAAATTAGAATTTTTCGTTTACTTTTTCGGACTATTTTATTAACGAGTTTCCACTGCGAAAATTCGTGCAAAAAAGAGCGATGTAAATAGAATTGTAATGATTTTATTGCTCGTTGTATAAATTACTATATTGCATTTTAGGAGCCACAAATTTACATCAAATTTAACCGTCATAGCAGATGAATTTAAATTTATTAATTACAAAATTTAATTCACGAAAATTATTCATTCATATTCATTCCTATTACAAAGTTAACATTTTCAGATTCCATTATGGTAAACACGTTAAAATATTATGTAAATACCGACACACTTATCACGTAGGGAAAATTTGAAAATTATTAATAATTTTACAAAATGCTTGGAGATTTTCTAATAAGCGAGGCGGTAATTGACAATGAGACTTGCTTGTAATGCCGCACACGTTCTTTCCATGAATCATAATTAAAATGATAATTTTACAACGAGAAAAAATTCATTTAACTTAACGAGAATATTAGTACCTACGTTAACACAGTCGATTACCTAATTGACGACAATGTGAATATTTTGGAAGTTAAAAGCGAAAAATGTCGAAAAACAAACTTTAATCGAAAATGTTATTCGCTCATCCGAGTGTATTTATTTAAAATAACATTTATTTGTATTTCATTAAATAACTGTTTACATGTATTCGAATTTTTCCCTTGTTTCAATATATAGCGGAGAGCCGACGAATATCCCATCGAAAGTTTTTATTCGCAAAAAGGCTATCAAGTTGCCAATTAATACGGTAGATAAACTAGGGGTTATCGAATACTGTTATTATCCGTTTCATTTTTAAGGCCCCGTTTGATGTTCATGCAGGGTACAAAGAGCTCCGATGACGAAGAGTTCGCCAATTTTTTTCGTAGATTAACATTGCGACACACCTATTGCATACATTTCAAAAGTTCAACTCCCAGAGTCGCAACATTTTTAATCTCGTTACAAAAGTATCGTTTATTTAGCTAAAAGAGTCATTTAAATTCGCTTCTTATGCAGTGCTTAATGCCCTCCGAATTACGTTGGGTTTTTCATCCAGTATAATACAAACAGAACGACGTGACGACTACATTAATTCAATCCTAAAATATACCATTCAACGACGTATTTACCTAGAACGTTGCACGACCCAATGAAATAAAAAATTGCCGGGAATTAACGAGCGCTCGGCTAATTATCCCGTCGAATTAGAACAAACGAATTTCTGGTCGTGTTCTCTTGACCCCGCCGTAAAGGTCAGCGTTATATCGTTTTAGAAGCGTAGCTAGCACAAAAGGGACGCGGGCCGGCCGGATAACGCGAGAGGATCTTGTCTGTTACGTTGCACCGATCCGTTTCTATTCGGACTTTAATTATTTAAACTGTAATCCATTTAGCGCACGGTCTTTGATCCGGTAAATCACCGACCCGGCCAGCCCCGACCAAATCCATTTTTTGTTCCGGAAAGTTTACTAACTGGACATTTCGATACATTATGATTAGTAAAAAAAAATGGTGAAGGTACATGCACGCATCCACCATTTTTTTGAAATTCCATAAGATAAAATTTATTAAAGATTCCGAGTATAAAAATATTTAAGAATCTGGAATTTGTAACTAACATAAAATAATAGTCATTTGTAGATTCGAAAAAAAAATATACAGAAATTGTAAGGTGCTAGATCTCCTCCGCCATATTTTGAAATGAACTTACTACTAAAATTATTGAAATAATTCTCGCCCTATTCTCATTAACTCGCATCTAAGACTCCGCCGATTACAAACAATTATACCCGTTTTAGGTAAATATGCAGAATTCGAAATAAGACTCGGAGTAAATTTATATTCAACCAACTCGGCTATAATCTGTATTTTCGTGCCGGGAATTCGGCGAATATTCCCGGTATTAGTGATATTATATTACGTAAGCAGTCTTTCAGACGGAAATCTCGAATCGAGAGCAACACTCGAAAGTTTCCTCGAAAATTTCATCGAGAAAATTTAAGGACGCTTCCGATTTATTTTCCGATCGAAGTGATGCGTTTCTACATTGGCCGGAATGTTTAAAACAATCATTTCATTTCGAAATCCGGCTGAATAAAAAGGCGATTAAAGCGCATATAAATCGATTAGAGTTGCTTAATCTTTTAATCAAACCGTTCGTCTTCTGGAGCCAGTTCTGAATTAATGAAGAGACGTGCCGTTGAAATTCCCTGCGCGGCCCCAATGCAACCGGAATATTTAGGAGCTTATGTAATTGCAATAACTTGAATGGAATTTTTTCCAGATTTAGTTATGATTAATTTTTCAATCATTGAGAGATCCAACTTAATAACTATTATAAAGTAGAAAATTGTTTCTTCCGCTATATAATCGTTTAGTGAGATATTTGCCAGGTTGTATTATATTTGCCAGATATATCTGCCATGGATTAAAAATTTATTCTGTTTCAGATATGACATTCAGCAAGATGATGAAACATGAACGGATGTTGGTACTTATTTTGGCGGCGATATTGGGTAAGTAGGATTAATTAGGTCCGTACAAAACAGATCGATACACAACAAGCCTCATCGGAACTCCTTCGAGAGATACATAATTCCAATCGCCCCTCGTATAACCGGTTAGCGGCAAATATTAGCGGAACTCGCCGGTGCGCACGTTAATTCGATTCCGCACGGAACAGTGTGCAGAACCCGAGTCGACCGAGCGACAGAAATTCGATTTGTATGAGGGAATCCACGAGACAATTTTTTATATCGAACGCCGTACAGCGATGAAAACCCGATTTGGGGCCCGATCCGTTGACAGAAAATTAAATACAGAAAGACTATCTTGGCGCATTTTCGAGAGTTATGGAATTTTTTCCGTGATAGATTGTCTTTCGGCGACGTTCAAGAAGTTTGTTTTTTTTTTCCTTTCGGAGGGTGCCAGACAAACGAAATTTCCTGATGGGAATCTGATGAGATGAAGATAAAACTTTCGACGGGAGTTTATTCGATAATAAAGCATTCCATATAAAATATTTAAGTCTAAATGTTATTAATCTAGCACTATGTAGTACCATATCTTTTCAACTTCGATTTGAAACATAATATTAAGTGATGATTTATTTTCAATCGCCCGGTATATAGACGTAGGCTGTTCCATATACGGTTTATGCGCTATTTCGTAGCTAAATGCAGATTTGCCAGCGCCGATGTCGACCCGCAATGATATGTTTTATCGTTCAACATGGCGCAAAATAGCGTATTAACCGCCAAGGAAGCGGAGCTGCGTGCATAAATTCTCGTTGTGTACACACGTATACACAGATGTTGGATTTCATCGGGTCCTGTATCCGGTTTTTGCGTTTTTGCACGCATTGTCACGCACGAGAGATAATCTCCTCCTGTTCGGTGGAATTTTCATACACACGTTTACACGGGAAAATGCTGTGCAAAAAGCAATGCCGTTTCAGGGTCGCTAAGTAATATAAAAGAACCCTAATGCTTTTTATACAAGCGCTAAACGTGTTAAAAGATACACGTACAAAAATCAAGAAAGAATATGTCATGGTATTTTACTTACATTTATGAGCGTGTCCCGATAAATTTTCCACCGGGCGTATTACTTGAATGCAAAGTATGTCGAGTTGCCGCGGCATTCAAGGGAAATTCGTTTAGAAGGGAATTTTCGTGCAGTAAGTACTAATCCGCGTTCGTCGACCTGTAAAGAAACCGTCGCATTAATTAAAACATAACCAAACATATCGCCCAAAAAGGGATAAATATTGCATGCGAACGTAAAGGAACTTTTCAGTACGCCCGCTCTCTAATCACCGAACCGAAAAACCTCCTTCGAAGTCTTAAAACAATTTTAAGTAGGGTGTATTTCGGCGTCCGTATCTAAACTAGCGCTAAAACGAGAAAAAAGTTTTAATAACCGTCACGTTTCTCGACGTTTACGAGAGACGTGCGAATTTTCCAAGTAAATATCTACACCATAAGTTTATTCTCTATATTATACGTCATTCGCAAGGAGTTGTAAAAGTCCCGCCGAGTTTATCAAAAACCAATTTATAACTAAAATATAAAGCGGGGAATTATAAAGAGAATACAACTTGAATAGGTATGATTAATAGTTAAATTAATTACTCTAGAGTTCCATTATTCCATCGCGAATTCCGGATAAAAAATCCAGTATAAATTACTGTTTTTAATCAAACAAAAGGTACAAAATATCTAACACACCATTAGAAACAGAATAAGCATAATTCCCAAAAAGAAGGCCTAATTGATAATTTATCACACGCGCCTGCACCTAATACCGTGGAAATATTAAATTCGAATCGTTTTTTCCGAAGCAATTCATCACGGATAATTTTATCAATAGACGTTAAAAGCGCTCCTCCGGATTTTTATTCCATTATCTCCTCATTCCCATTTTTGCAACAAAAGATCGCCGATATGAAATTGAATAGAAGAGGTTACACGGTCCGCACCTTGCTTTGCGTCCTTATTAAAATTTCAGACAAACGGGCCCGTCTTTTATTCCTTTTTCATTCCGGCGACAGGCGGCGTCGCGACGCTCCCATAAAATTACGTACGTTGATATTATTTAAATCCAATTGCGCGTGATTTTTTTTTCATTTCTCATAACATTAATCATTCGTTTTATAATCAATTCAACTGATTATTTTTATTGAATAATATAATTCCAAAAGCATTTTTATATACCTACGCATATTAAATTCTACTATAGGTACAGGATTAGATGTAGTACCTAGTAAAATATTAATTGGTGGGGCTATTTGAATTGACTACTAAAAAATTAATACTCTTTCTGTTACTCGGCGAGTAGATGCTTGGGACGTAAGTTGGAAAAACAGATCCGAAACTCAGAAAGCAATTAATTATCCTCAAACAAGGCGAATTGAATCAGAAATAAGCGGAACATTGCGCCGAGTTCTCGATAAAATGAGATACTAAACAACAACTGTTCGAATCATGCGAACTTCAACAGCGGTTAAAAGCCGAATTAAATTCCAAAATGGTCGGATTACGTTCTGAAAGACTTTAATTTTATTGAAACACTCGGAAACGTTTTAATCTAATTAATTGAAATTTTACGGCGTAAGGATATAATGGGAACAATCGTAATGTTTCCTTTAATTTATGAAAGGTTTCTTGAGAAGCGATAAATTTATTAAAGTCTCTTCACTAAATTATGATGTTTTTAGTTTGATTTAGGAGCACCTATATACATGTAATACAAAATGCAAATAAAAAGTACTAGTGAAATACGCTCCTATAATGAGAGTTCAAATTTTATACGACACCCCGGTTTTAATTTCGAAGCCGATGGAAAAAACATCCTGGAATCGCAAAAATTCAAATCATGACCCGACATCTCCGAGGGATATCTTGCGTAAATCGATTCTCGGGCCACATCTGATTTCACAAATCACTCCGGGAGCTCCTAGGAGAGCCCCGTTTCCCATCAATTTTTAATTGCCAACGAGATAAGGAACGGGGATATTAATTTGCAAGAATTATGCGATACAATAAAACCCAAGCTGCGAATTTCGCTTTACTGCAGTTGCCTGGTTTTACAGCTATAATGTGGTTTAGATTTTACTGCAGTATACAACCAAAAACGTTGATATAAATACATCAAAACCGTTTACAATTTCACCCAGTTCTAAACTAGTCCTAATTTAGTTCTAACCTTACCTAACCCCAAGTTAGCTCCTACCCAGGGTATGGGAACTCGTGGCTACTGGCTCCACCTGTTTCGAGCCTCCATGAAACACCACTGCGCATGTATTGCTATAGATGGCAGTGTATGAAAATGGCCAAGTAAAGTCCCCGTCAAGTTAATATGTTATTTATGTAAAGTCCCTAGGTTCTATTGGTCCGTTCCGCCCTTTATGACCGGATTCGCGTTTTTATCTATATAAAACACCCGTATGAAACAGACTTAACGACTTCCTTCTTATTTTCTGTCGTTTTTGAATTTTTGGTTATTTTATGCCATTTATGGTTTAACTTCGGACATTTGTGTCTTTATTGTATTTTTACGTGCGTGTTGTGAGTTGAATAATGCTATCGAAATTCGTTACAGTTAGTTATCCTTATTATTGTTTATTAATAGGTACCGTTCTAATAGGTAGTAATGAATTATTTAAAAGGGCCCATGACGAGTATCAAAGAAGAATACCTAAATTGACCCTTGTGAAAAATACCTTGTGAATTAGACCATTGTAGAATATACCTATTTAGCTATAGAAGGTTGTTATTTCTTTTATTCTTTCTACTTCAAATCTACAATTTCATAATAAATTTAGAGGAATTCTTTTTAACTGACCTACTCATTTTACACTAACTACATTTATAAAGTAAAATGTTTATTTCAGTTAAAAAGGTTTCCCTCTAAATTTATTATAAAATTCTTATTAGAAAGTAATAATTGTGTACACAAGATTTTGAAATTTTAGCGCCAATTGCAGAACACTGTAAGTATAATTAGTATTCTGCATTTAATGTATAGACGCGCGTCACAGGTGTCGTTAGTAAAAAAATTGAGTTTCCCATCTATAGTGTAGGTTATCTGTGCTCCTACCTATAGCTCTTACACGAGTATTAATTCTCAAATTGCTACTATACATCTACCTACTTAACAAAATGAACGTAAGGTTTCTCCAAGTGGCCGATTCGACGGAGCTTTCGCCGTACTCGAGCTAGATCTCTGTGCGGCCTTCGAACTAACTCCCCGCAGCTGGTACGTTTCTCATCTCTGGCGTATGTGCGATGCAACAGGGGTTTTAGAGACGGATCCCCGGACCGGGAGAGGCGGCGCGCGAGAGGAATTATTCGTGCGGGCGGGCGCCGCAACTACATACAACAAACTTTAAATCCCTGTATTCAGTTCGAAACATATGCTCCGGCTTCGAATTTGCGATAATGAGAATTCTTGTTGTACGTTTCGAGCTTTTTAAATCATCGGATTAGGAGTTTTTTCACTTCCTATTGAGTTTATTCCGAACGTCTAAATATTTCCCGCCTTATTAAAGTATATCTACCTATACTTGACGCGTTTGGAAGACGGAGTAATAAACACATTAATCAGCCGAAGTCCACCCGGGGTGTAAACGAGTCGCCGATATCACTCACTCCCCATTGGCCGGCCTAAAAGTTGATACTCTGTGAATGGTTTTGAGTAATTGTAGGCGATGTGCTAAATTTCTATCGATCGAATCGATCATTGTACAGGATTTTGCCGTACAGGGGTAGGGATATTTTGGAACCGCCTGACATTTTTATTACTCCGTCTTCCAAACGCGCCAAGTATAGCTTATTATAAAGTTGAAGGCGTAACTTGACAACGTATAAGAATGAATATACATGTTGCAATTTTAACGTCTAAACTAATAAGAAACAACTCGACGTGGAATTCAAAACTTGGATGCAATTTAACTTGTTTTGTTTTACCGAGTAATTAGTTTGTAGAATAATTGAAGAGAAGGGTAAATATAATG